CAGGCTTCAGGAGGCTCCAGGAGGCCACATGAGGTTCCAGGAGGCATCAGGAGGCCACAGGAAGATTCAAGAGGCCACAGGATGCCCCAAGAGGCTCCAGGAGGCCCCAGGAAGCTCCAGGAGGCTTCAGAAAGCCACAGGAGGCCCCAGAAGGCCACGGGAAGCGCCAGGAGGCCCAGGCAACAAGAGGCCCCGAGAGGCCCCAGGAGCAGGAGGCCTCAGAAGGCAACAGGAGTGGCTCCAATCCCATGTATGTTACGCATGCTCCTATAGATTGGGCATCACCTGGAGCACGAATCCTTGGTGTTACACGTATGTTTCTACAGGTTGTCTTTCTCCTGCGGATACAATCCTGAATGTGTTACGCCTGTTCCTATAAATCGGGCCTCCCCTGGGGGCACGAGTCCTTGGTGTTTTACGTGTGCTCCTGTAGACTGCCCTGCTCCTGCGGCTCCAATCCGCAATGTTTTATGTACGTCTGTTTCTATAGATCGGGCTTCTCCTGGGGCACGAATCCTCCCTAGGAGGTCACAGGAGGCTCCAGGAGGCTACGCGAGGCTCCAGGGGGCCTCAGGAGGCCACTCGAAGCCCCAAGAGGCCCCAGGAGGCCCCAAGAGGCTCCTGGAGGCCCCAGGAAGGCCCCAGGAAGGCCCAGGAGGTTCCTGGAGGCCCCAGGAGGCCCCAGGCTCATGCGCAGAGACGCGCTCGTACTACCGAGACTCATTCACGCTCCAATCCGTTCGAAGTTAGATTCATGACCAGACCGTCACAACTCAAGCCCGCTTATATTCAAAAATTCTTGCGCCTGCACTCTCACTGCGGACAGGTCCATGCGAATAGATGCACATATGGGGAGCTCCACGCAGTGGATAATTCTCTGGCCGCGCCGGACCAAGAGAGCCCCTCCCCTCCTCCCTCTCTGCATCTAGACAATGATTATGATTGTCATGATGGTGACCACGGTATTGTGAGAGCGTGATGTGAGTATGATGGTGAATGATGATGATGATGATGATGATGATGATGATGATGATGATGATGCTGATGCTGATGATGATGATGATGATGATGATGATTATGATGATGATGATGATGATGATGATGATGATGATGATGATGATGAGCAGATGATGAGCAGATGATGAGCAGATGATGAGCAGATGATGAGCAGATGATGAGGATGTCTCGAGCGGCGTGCTGGTTTTAGCACTCCTAAGGGGAGCCGCCAGGGGTATTGCACGGCCTCCGCTCGCGCCCAAGTGACGGGGATGTCTCAGGCGGTTTGCCTGTTTTGGCTCTCAACATCCTCCGCTTTCGGTTCAGATTCTGAGGATGCCTCAGGCGAGGCGCTGGCTTTCGCACCCCAGGGGGGGGGGGGGGGGGCAAGGTTTCGAGGATGTCTCAAGCGGTTTGCGTGTTTTGGTGGTCAGACTCGTCTGTTGTCAAAGCATATTCTGAGGATGTCGATGGCGAGGCGCTGATTTCCGCACTCCCAGAGGGCCCAGATTGCGAGGATGTCCTAGACTCACTTATGCTCAAACCCATTCGTGGTCAGACTCACTCATATTTAGATTCGCACTCATCATACTCATACTCAGACTCACTCACACCCAGACTTACGCACACCCAGACTCACTCACACTTAGACCTGCCCACCCTCAGACTCATTCGTAGTCAGACTCACTCGTACTCAGACCCACTCAGGGCCAGCTTCATATCCACCATACTCATACTCAGACGCACTCACATTCAGATTTACTCACGCTCAGAATCACTCACACTCAGACCCACCCACCTTCAGATTCACTCGTAGTCAAACTCACTCGTACTCAGACCTATTCAGACTTAGACTCGTACTCACTATACTCATACTCAGACTCACTGGCTTTCGCCCCCCAGGGGCAGATTGCGAGGATGTCCCAGACTCACTTGTGCTCAGACTCGTACTCATCATACTCATATCCAGATTACTCACACCCAGACTTACGCACACTCAGACTCACTCACAATTAGACCCACCCACCCTCAGAGTCACTCGTGGTCGTAATCCCTCGTACTCAGACCCACTCAGAGCCAGTTTCGTACCCATCATACTCATACTCAGATGCACTCACATTCAGATTTTCTCACGCTCAGAATCACTCACACTCAGACCCACCCACCCTCAGTTTCACTCGTAGGCAGACTCACTCGTACTCAGACCCAGTCAGATTCAGACTCGTACTCATTGTATTCATACCCAGACTCACTCACTCCCACTCTTGCCCAAACTCAGACTCACTCTCACTCAGACTCATTCATACACAGATTTACGCATTCTCAGACCCACGACCGCCAGACGACGACCGAATGGTGCCCAGATTCGGAATCCTCTCCAGGAGGCCCCAGGAGGCACCAGGCGGCCCCAGGAGGCTTCAGAAAGTTCCAGGAGGTCACAGGAGGCCCCAGGAAACTCCAGGAGGCCCCAGGAGGCCCCAAGAGGCCCAGGAAACTCCAGGAGGCCCCAGGAAGCCCCAGGAGGCCACAGGAGGCTCCACGGGGCACCAGGAGGCCCCAGGAGGCCACAGGAGGCCCCACGAGGCCCCGGGAAGTCCCAGGATGTCTCAGGCGACCCGCCTGAGACATCTTCGGAATCTGAGCTCCTTTCGTCAAACTCACTGGTACTCAGACCCATTCAGACTTAGATTCGTATTCACAATACGCATACTCAGACTCACTTGCGCTCAGACTCGTACTCATCATATTCATACTCAGACTCACTCACACCCAGCCCATGCAAATAGATGCACATATGGGAGCTCCACGCAGTGAATGGTTTTTCTTTTATTTCATCGCCCCTTAGGGCCCGATGACCCAACCCGCTCAGGAACGCGCGGCTTTGCAATCGGAGGCCTGCTGCCGACTGGTCAGCAATGGATCACCAGTTCTGGGTCGATGTTTCTCCACATAAGCCAGCCCCTCCGATCGCCCCCCTCAATATCATGGCCGGGGCTACGATGCGCAGTGAAAGAAGGGATCTGCGTACATTGGATGGGGATGTGACGTGCGAGCAGGAAGATGGGCAGGAGAGGGAGGAGCATGAAGGAGGAGGACGAGGAGGAACAGCAGGAGGAGGAGGATAAAGGAGCGAGGGCGGACCAAGGGAGGGAGGGGCAGGAGGGGAGGGAGGGAGGGGCAGGAGGGGAGGAGAGGGAGGCAGGGAGGGGCAGGAGGAGAAAAGCGCGGGGAGGGAGGATCGGGGAGGGTGAGAGCGGGCCCGCCAGGCTTGCCGATGCTGCGCTTCCTCTTCCCGACCGCGCCCGTGCGCTCCACGGGCGTCGGGAGCAGAGGGCCGTGTCGCTCATGGTGGGGGGGGGACCTCGTTTTCCTCTTCGTTTTTCTCTTCGCTTTCCTCTTCGCTTTCCTCCTCGCCCTACTCCTCCTCCTCCTCCTCCTCCTCCTCCTCCTCCTCCTCCTCCTCCTCCTCCTCCTCCTCCTCCTCCTCCTCGCCCTCGTCGCCCTCCTGGCCCGTAGCCAGTTTGGCTCAAGTTCGAAGGGCTCCGCCTGGCGTTTCGAACTTGCGCGCCGCCAAGGCCAACGGCAAAGCTCGAGCAGTTTTGCGATGCACGGGACCTCCGTTCGGCGCGCCACCACGGGAGCAGCGCGCGCCTACCGCCCTAAGGGCCGCCATTGCCATAGCCGAGGCGTGCAGTTGCTGTTGTTCGCCGCCCTGCTCCCGTGCAGCAGCACATGACACCCGAAGCCACATGGCCTGCCAACACCCATCGCGCGGGGGAATGGTCGTGGCAAGCTCTGGGGCACAAACATTGTGGCACATGTGGTGCAGCTCTCGGTCTGCAGAAGCAGCAGCCTTCTTCCTCAGCGGCGCCGCAACGTAGCAGCTCGACAATCAATCGATGGAGCCGCGGGGTCTCGACGAGGCGCCAGCTGAACTCGACCAGTCAGAAGGGGATGAAGGTGCTGGGCCTGGTCAAAAAGACCCTGCCCAAATATACGTTGTAGCCGCCAATGTTTGGCGCAAGCTTGAAAGTGTTGGTGGACTTCACTACAAACAGGAACGTGGGGATCTCAAGATCGAGAAGTCGAAGTCCATGGCCAGCAAGTTGCTTGACCAGCAGGCTCAGAGTATCACAGGCCGGCACAACGTCCAGCGCCAGCGCCTCGCAGGCAAGCAGAGGAACGCGATCTGGTATCTCAACCTGATCGAAGAGCACACCGACCAATGCCAGACAGTCGCGGCTGAGTGCAGCAACATCCTCCGCGAGACCCAGCAGCCCGAGAGCCAGCTCAAGGGCGCGGCCAGGGCGGCGGCGCTTCAGGCTGGCGGCGAGTCCGAAGTGGAGGTCAATAAGCAGGCCGCGCCCGAGGAGTTTGTCTCGGCCAGGTTTCCCAACGGCGCCGCCCTCAGTCAGCAGTTCAGGAGTGGCATGGACACCATGGCAGCAAAGCTCAATGAGGAGCACACCGGTCTTCATCAGCCACAGCAGCAGCCACAGCCCGAAGGTGCCAAAGAGGAACCGCGTCCAGCCCAAGGAGATGCAGTTCCAGAACCAAGCCTAGGTGACGCAGCCCACGCCCATGATATCCCAGCGGGCGAACCCACCGACGAGATGGACCTCGACACCAGCGGCGCAACAAGGGGGGAGGCGGGCCAAAAGCGGTTTGCACAGGCCCTCTCGGCAGTAACCCAGCTCGAGACTCCAGGTGTTTTGCTGCCCTCTTCGGAGGAAACGGCGAGGCATCGCAGGGCCAAAGCTGCGGCCTCAGACCCCTCCTCGGCTGGCTCACCGAGGCAAAGAAGTCGGATGGGAAACATACGAATCATGTCTTTGAACGGCAGCTGTTGGGGCTTCGTCAAGACATTTGTCGAGTCTGACGACGCCAAAGCAGCACGCGTAATATGATGTCAGGAAGTCAATCTCCCTCCGCACCATGTTCTGCAGGCTACTCAATGGCGTTCGAAATGGGTAGGCTTTCATGTTTTTCTGAGGGCATCTTGAGCGATGGCGGGGCAGCAACACCAGGTACCGCCATGCGCATTGAAGATGAATTCCATTTTGGGGTTACAGGGGACGAGCGACCAGCAAATACGCCAAAATGGAAAGTTATTGCAGTAGCTCTAGCAGTACCAGCCCATGCCGAACGCTCTCTGGCCCAAGCATACCCTGCCGACAAGGCAGGGCTCATCGAGTTCAATTTCGAGCTGCTGGCCAGCTTGGCGCAGCTCAGCCAGTTGCAGCGCGCGAGCCTGATCGTCGCTGCAGATTTTCACTCGTCGGCCGCGAATATCACCAAGAGCACATATTGCACGCGAGCTGGCACGCAGGCCCTCTTCCCCCCCCCCATCCCCGCGCACTGCACAAAGAAGGCCAAGAGCACCATGGATTTCTATCGTCTCGGATTGCCCCCAGGACTTTGCCACCCAGCCCGAGGCCCTCAAGGAGTACCCCCTGAGCACCCACAGGCCCGCGCACTTTGACCTCACCATCAATGGGCCTTCCTTGGTCCCAGTCTTGGTCGAGCCACAGAAATTGCCCACCGTGCTCCCAGTGGGCCCCCTGGCTGAGACCTGCCCCTGGATCGATGCCGAGGCCGCCCAGGACCAGATGAAAGCCTTACTGGATGGAGCCCTGGACCAGACCCACCAGACCCTGGCTGGAGATTTCACGAAGTATCGAAGTACCATGACGGAGACGCCCCTCCGCAGCAGCAGACTGCGCTGCCAGGGACATCACGCGAAGCGGCTACCGGCACGAGCTGCGGCGCGAGTTCGCAGGCGCAGCTGGCGATCTTTCGCGAGTCATTTTCGCCGGCTTAAGAATCAGCGGACAGATGCGAAGCGCGCCCTCTGTCAGTCGTGGGATTTATGGTTTGACTTGCGAATTGCCAAGGGGGGTCATGGAGGCCGCCCAGCTGCTTTCGGTGAAGCCGATGAGCAAGGAGTTCTCCTTCACACGGTGCACGCCACTGCTCAAACGGCCCTACTCGACGGAAGAAACGACGCCCTCGAAATAGTGGTGGCCAGAGACATGTTCGATCGGCTTTTCATCGGAGCCGACAGAGCCCTCGACCGAGAGATATGAAGCGACAAATCGGCCGACGAGAAGACTTGGCAGGAATTGGGGACCACCGCTGGACTGACGACTTCAGCAGCCGGATGCCTCAACGCGTTCGGAAGGATAGCCTCGGTTGGTGGACTGGTCGACCTTACGGCCCACTCGCCGCCGAAGCCGACCGAGTGACAGAAATCTGGGAAGTTGAACCATTTGAGCAAGAGCCAAAGATCCGCAGACCGAGCTCCGAAGCCCCGGAGGACCTGGGACCGATTGCCCCGTCTACGACAAGAGCGGCGGCCAAGCTTTTCAGCCACGACACGGCCTCCACCCACGACGGCTTCCCCCCAGTGCATTTTGCGTTTTAGGGCGACGACGAGCTGGGGCTCGCCAGTAACTGCACGATTTCTTTCGAGGCCGTCGGTCACCTTCCCCCCTGGGCACGCGCCACGGCCACCCTCCTCATCCCCAAGCGCAAGCAGCAACGGGGCAAGCAGGACAAGCCAAGCTACCAGGGCATAGGAATAATTGGTTCCATTCGGAGACCCGCCCTTGACCACCACGATGGACATGAAATCCTGGAAATTGTTTTTTCCCTCCAGATTGCTCCCCGGCTCTAGGTGCAGAGCAGCCCCCGCCCGTTTCCTGGGCGATAAGCTACTCAGCTGCAATACGTTGGGATTCGTCTAACTACTACGAGCACATCAATACGGACATATGGTTCTCGAGAGCTGCGGGCACCGATTTCAATCAGGCAGCGGCGACCCGGATCGCCAACCAACACGGCGCGCTTCGGTTACGGTGAACCAAGAACAGGTCATCTTTGTGGGCAGCCCGCAGCACGGAGTACCAGCAGGCTGAGGCTTCGCCACGTGCGTCATCCAGATGCACTGCATCGCGCCCAGAAGTCTGGGTCCAGGACAAAACCCTGGCCAGCCTCCACATTTTTATAGATGACCTCCTCCTGGCCCAGGACAGTTGCCCCGAGGGCCTCAGCAAGACCCTCATATCAGCCTCGGGCAATACGCGTCGTACTACGATAGGGGCGTTCGTTAAGGAACGTGCCCAGGAGGCGTCAGACCCTGGAGGGCTCCTTATCTGATGAGGGAGGCGGTGATACCCATGGCCAATCCACGATTGGCTTTCCACTGGCTTCGAGACCCTAGATTCCTTATCGAAGGTTTCCTTATCCAATGCCATCACCGTTCCGTAGCCATTTTGGCTCAAGCCATTTTGGCTCAAGGCAATGAACCGCCCCGACGACCGCGAGTCTTTTGGGGCGACTAAGCGCGAGGGAGGTTCTGCTTTGAGGCTACCTTCCTTTCCAACAAGTGTGAGCTGCCACTGCAGAACCCTGGACCTGCGGGTCACGGCTTCTTCTGTGTCGGCGGATCCGCCCCCGTCGGCACCTGCCTGCTGCACGCCCGCGGCTGAGCAGCGCGCCCGCCCGTTCCGGCGATGGGGCCGAAGGCCGAGCCTGGCTTCGTCGTGTGCACGGGCTGCCGTTTCCGCTGGAACTTCCGCAGGAATGCGAAGTGCTGGCTGTGCGGGATCGGGCTGGAGCTGGCGCCCTCGAAGCCTTCGCCCCGCGTCGGGGTCTGGGCGGACGACGGCGGCGGCGGCCCCCAACCCGCACTGCGAGGAGGCGGCAGCGGAGGCCCACCGAAGAATGGCGCCAAGTGCGGCAAGGGCGGCAAGGGCCGTGGAGGAGCCTCCCGTGGCGGCGGTGGTGGCGCAGCCTCCCGTGGCGGCGGCGGGGGCGCGGGTGGCCGTGGCGGAGGCGCCTTCCCGAAGGCCCCCTGGTCGGCCCCCCCCGAGAGCGAGCTCGAAGCGCTCCTCGCCTGCGGGGACCCCGCCATCGCGGCCAGGCTGCAGGAGGCAGTCCGTGACGCGCGGGGCTGCGTCGCGCCCGCGGCCGCCCCAGCTCCGAAGCCGCTCGAGCAGAGGCTGCAGTCGGCCACGGCGAAGCGGATCCACCTCCAGCGCCAGCTCGACGAGGCAGCGGACGCGCTCGTGGCGGCGGAGGACCACCTCGCTCTGTGCCGAGGCTGGCGCGACGAGGCGGCGGTCAACCTCGCAGAGGCCAAAGAGGAGGAGAACGCCCTCCTCCGCCAGCGAGCCCAAGCGGCTGGTGTCGTGGGCGCCCAACCCGATGGAGCGAGGCAGCTCACCTTCAACTTCGACGCGGAGTCATTCGAGAACTTCGCGGAGCTGGAGGAGGAGGCGCAGGCCACCCTCAGGCGCCTTTGTGACGAGGGGCTCCAGATCATGCAGGGGGCGCAGGCTACGTTC